CTGTGTGGTTCTTTTCTCTGGAGTGCAGGAACATCCTGATATACATAATATAAAAAATATTTGTTGAGGTGGGAACATTATTCAGAAGGATGAACGTTTCTGGCTTTTTTACCCCAGTGTGAGCATGCTGTTAACACAGGTGCCGTCTCTTACTTTAGATGTTTGAAATGGGGCCCAGATCCTCAGAAATGGGCAAATTAATTGGCAAAAACTTCCTATAAACTTAGTTCTGACAATTACAGAGATCTGCATTAAAATTAGGAGCTTGGGCTACAGAAATAATTATTTTCTTCCTATCTATTTTTGCTGCATGGTTTGAAGGGACAATCTATTAGAAATCAGCATATCTACAGAAACTGCTTGGTTCACCAGCTAATAAAAATGATTAGGTGTAATAATGACAAAGCAAGCATGAGTGATATCATCTTGACATTTGCAAAGCCCAGGTGGATTGAATAATAATGGTCTGCTATTTGCTTTGCATCAGTGGCTGAAGAAGGTTCCGTGCTCCTGTTTATACCAAGGAAACAGGGCATCACAAAAACACACATGTACACTTACCTATGCTGCTGTGTAAAGTCAGATAGTATCTGGTCCTGTGGCCATTAATGTAAGATATGAGTTAAGAAACTGAAGATGGATTGATGCACTCCAACAGCTGAGATTTTCTGGCTGTATTTTTAGGTCAGCTCTGTATTCTCATCCTTTCCTGAAGTGTGTTTTTGGGCCCTGGTGGGTGTTCAGCTGCCCACATGCCAGTCTCTTCTGACTCACCTTGCTGCAGACAGCAACAAAAGCCATCCTCCAAATTTAAATGCTTTGTCAAACTGTACATCTACTGGCTCAAAAGGAGAACTTTGCAAATGAAGCACTGGGCACGGAGTAACCAAAGCCATTTAAAAGTGGTTTCAGCACAAATTCAGATCCTTTGCTGCACCAGAAGGGTAGAATAAATCACACAATGTGTCTACTGGTTCATTTATTACAGCTGCCATGCAGAAAGCTTATTGCCTCCTAGAAATTGTATTTGTGCATACTGTAAGATGACAGAAATATACCAGAAGTTCTTTATACAAAGCTTCCTCTTTTGTTAGGAAAGAAGCCTCCCCTTATCAAGTGTGCTCTGTATGTGGATCTTAAGGAGGTGGTGGGATGTGCACAAAGAGCCACACTTAAATGACATTAGCTCCTCAGCTGTAACTTCCTGTGTCTGTCTGGCCATGCCCGAGCCAGCCCTGGGCTGAAGAAGATATTCCAGGGCACACGAGGTACTGGAAACAGGGTGGCTAGGTCAGCCAGGCTGCTGCCTCTTCCTCTGACTGCTCTGCAAAGGCAGCCCAGCGCAGCACCATACCATACACTGCCTCAAGGCCAGGGGAACCACAGGGGCTTGAGCTTGCTTCATCCCCCTCTGAAGGCAAAGCTTTAGTGGGATTTAAGTCCTGAAGACCCTGGGTATCATCACAGGGGATGGCTGCAATAAAGATTTTGGCAGAGACAAGTGGCAGAGAGAGGAATTGGGTAGCAAGCATGACTACTAGGAAACCACAAGCTTTTGAGAGGAAACCATAAGCCTGGAGGTGGGAACATGTGATGATGGTGTCACAGAGCATTGACTACTAGACATCTTCCACTACATACTATTGAGTTACACTTTGCTCCAAACAGACTCTGAGGGCTACAGAGGTCTTCTCCTGAGCTTGCTCCTCCAGGATAAGTGTCCCCAAGTGCTGCTCAACTCAGACAGCAACCGTGGCCCTGCAAATGCCATCAAAGTTGTTATGTTTCTGTGCTGGTGTCGGGTTTTGCAAGGACAAAAAGGAGCCACGAAGTTTTATTTTTGTAAATATGGCCCAGGATTTCCCAGAATCAAGATTCCAAAAGTAGTTTCAGGTTTGTGTGTGCTTGCTTCAGCTGTGAAGACTTGGTTTATGTTTTCATTAATGCCTTCAGAGACTGAGCCAAGCTGCAATCAGCCTTTTCCCTCAAGCTTGTTCTCATAAAGCCAGAATAAATACCAAAATTTCTGTCTGGAAAATGGAAATCTATGGTAAAAAAACATTAACCAAGCAAGCATGAAAACGCTATGCCCACTAGTTAAGAAAATTAATCCACTGCATAATGAGCAAAAGAAAATTAATTCATTTCTAAATGGACAGGATGCTTCAAGGTTTTGGTGGATCTGTCAGGAAAGTGTCTGGAGAGCCAACAACTCCATTACAGAAATAAGAGCTCAGAAATGTTTCTAGGTACCTTTGGTAGATTTCAAATAGATCAGGGAGGTTAAGTTGGACGTCAGGAAGAATTTCTTCACAGAAAGGGTGTTTGGGCATTGGAATGGGCTGCCCATGGAGCTGGTAGAGTCACTGTCCCTGGAGGTGTTTAAGAAAACACTGGACATGTGGCAATCAGTGCCATGGTCTAGCTGACATGGTGGTGTTGGGTCATAGGCTGGACTTGATAATCTCAAAGGTCTGTTCCAACCTGATTCTATGATTCTGTAAGAGAGAACTAATAAATGTTCATTGGGGTGTCCATTTCTGTTCCCACTTAGGAAGTAACTGAAAGAAAAAGAAGTTGCTGTGAGCAAAGTGTAGACCTAAGAAAACACTCCTGAAACAGAAAAGCAAATTCATCTGGAATATATGAAGATTAGCCCCATCTGCATCCCAATTCATCTGCCACAAGTACTGTATAAAGATGACACAAAATTGTAAATTCCTACCCTCCTCGATGTTTGGGACATTGTGTTTCTCATTAAAAGGAATTAGGTAAAAATGGTTCAATTTCTTGGCTTCTATTTTTTTAAACTTTCAAGATCTTCTCTGAATAATATGTGTTTTGTTAGAACTTTGGCATCTCAAGTTTCCAGAGCATAGCATGGTTTTAGCTGGAAAACAAGAGCCAAAGCTGATTTGATGAGTTGTGCTGCATTCACTCATTACAGTAACTGGTACGGACAGACAAGGCCCACTAGAACAGGAACTGCTCTACAACAGCCAACTCAGCTCCATGGTTAGGAAAAAATATTGGGTCTGCTTTATATATGCAGCCTGATATTAATTCCAAATGGCATCTCACCTTGCAATGTTTCACACACAGGCAAAAGCAAGAAGTGTTAGTAAACACTTCAGGTTTTAAGAAAATGTTCCCTATACTTCAAAAGTTTGTTACATCTTTCTGACCAATTTTCTGACATGAAGAGACAATTCTAAACATTTTTAAATGGTCCAGGAAGCAACATATGGCATGCACGTGATGTATGCTGTGACAAAATTCAAGGTGGAAAGCGGTAAATCTGTAACCATCTGTGCAACACAATTATGTAAAAAAAACGTAGACAAGCAAATACTTCAAATAACCCATGATGAGAAGAGCATCATGGAATCATGGAACGGTTTGAGTTGGAAGAGGACCTTAAAAGATCATCTAGTTCCAATCCCCCTGCCACAGGCAGGAACACCTTCCACTAGACCAGGTTGCTCAAAGCCCCATCCAGCCTAGCCCTGAACACTTCCAGGGATGAGACCTCCACGTTTTTCTGGGCAATCTGTTCCAGTGCCTCATCACTCTCACATTTAAGATTTTCTCCCTAATATCTAATCTAAACCTACTCCCTTTGGTTTAAAGACAACCCCCCTTGTCCTGTCACTACACAGCCTTGTCAGAAGTCCCTCTCCAGCATTCTTGTACCCCCCGTCACTGGATACTGGAAGGTGCTTCAATACCCCTTTGCAGCCTTCTCTTCTCCAGGCAAAAAAACCTCAACTCTCTCAGCCTGCCTTCATATGAGACATACTCCAGCCCTCTGCTCACCTTCATAATTTTGAGACTATCATTTCTTTTGACTAGTCCTGAGCTTAAAAAAAAAAAAAAAGACAAAAGTATAATCAGATTGTCTCTTGAAGTTTTAGCAGACAAGTTTTGGAGAATTCTTACTTAACGTGTATTTTCAGCGCTACTATGCCCATGCAGCAATTCCACACACTTCCACACTTACTTTTGGTATACAGTAATTTTTTTTATGCAAACAGCACCAAAAAAAGCATCCTAGTGTCTGTGGTGGGATTAATAGGGATTAAACACTGTAGAGCTAACACAGTGTCATCATCGCTGTATCTTCTCCACAGAATAATAGGATGAAGCAACATAATGCTACACTTGTACAGCAAACCCCATACCAGATGAGCCACACAGTTGTGTTGACAGTGCTGATTAACTGCTCTACCTTGCATTTGCAGAGATTTAATTTCATCAGAAAGCATCCTAATAATAGCTGTTCAGACTGAGCTCTGCTATTACACAACAGGACAGTCAATTGGCCAGTAGGAGATTTGGGTCTTGCTGAGAGATAATGACGAATACCTGTCAGTACAGCAGTTGGTCTACTTCCAAACAACCTAAAAATACATATCCTGCTTATGCTGCTCACAGGGCAAAACATGTAATATCTTCAGTGTATCTAAAGGGTAACCAGACAATCAGTGGTTTAGTCTAACTCTGCTAAAACTCCCTTTGAATACTTCTGCCTGATGCACAGTAAATCAAATCAGCTAAAAGGATGCCAGGTCTATAACCTCACTTGTTAGTTTCTATCCATGTCTGCCTCTTTTTCAATAAACTAAAATAGGCAATGTTTCACACCCCAAATATGTACAGATAAACCTTACTAGTCAGTACTTATGATCTATTTTCTGTTGCAGAACTTTTAACTGAAATGGTACTGCAGTGCTTGTAAAGGTGCTTCTGCAGCACAGACTGCAACTATTAAAACTCAGACCTTATTGTTTCTGTGATCTTATTATTTTCCTTTATTCCACTGTTGTCTGAATTATGTTTCCTTTCATTTCTTCTGGGGTTTTGTTCCTTCCATCCCTACTCAGACACTGCAAGGCAAGAAGAGCATGTCAGGGGTAGGAACACGCTGCTCAAAACCACTCAAGGTTCTGCAGGACACGCCATTATCATTCCATTTAGCTCAAACACAACACAAAACTTCGGAAGTCTGTTCCAGTTGTCAATTTTATTTGAAAGGTGTCTTCTACATATTTTTAATATATAGAAATAAAAATGAAAGGCCTATACAAATATGAACACTTAGAGAGTACCAATACTGCCCTTCATTTTTTATACTGATCTTTCAATACTTAAAGGGGCAAAACTGCAGCAAATAGCCCACATAGTTAATAAAATAAATGTTACAAAATCTGATAATGTCCATTCACATCTAACATAACCTTTTAGATTGAGTTCTCTTTTACATATATGTAACTTCAACACAAAGGATGTTCAGCTGCCTTTGAGATGTTCCCAACATAGACTGATGTACATTTTTTTTTCCAGATGGACAGTGAAAAAAAAAAAAGGTCAATCTGCAGTTATACTTCAACGTAAGAATTTAGCATTATCACTTTTAATAACATACTATAGGGGTATTTTTGAAACAGTCCAATAAATTAAAAGGAGCCCAATCTTGCCTTCAAGTAAAACCCAAGTAATTTCAGAAACTTCAGAATGGGCATTTGCTTTTATATACCATGATTCTTCCCAAAGCTTTAAGAAAATTAACGCCACATAAAATGTTTTTGGTATAAATTAATATCATAAAGTAAACCTTTTGCTTCTTGTAAACCACATTTGATAGACAATTATCCATAAAGTGATATTTTCTAACTTAGGATATCACCCACATGCACTTATGCAATGTCACTAATTTACACATTTAAGAGAGCATAAAGAAAAGTATGTGCTTAAATGGGGAGAGCAATGACTACTATATCAAATACAACTGCTCCTTTAAATATTGGTTATTTATTGGGTTTTTCTTGGGGGGATGTATTTTTTTTTTAAGAAAAGGTCAAACCCCAACAATACTGAAAGGTGACCACATCATATAGCAAAAGTCTCTTGTCTTTTCTGAAGGAATTTGTCCTCATCCCAGAACTAAAAAGTTCCCAGATGTCAATTTAAGAACTGTAGATTAAAATTCCTGGAAATTAGAAGAAATATTTCAAGTATTTCCTATTTGGACAAAAAGGCCACAGGCTTTAGCTAAGAAAAAATATAACAATATTATTTGCTGTAAGTGTACAAAAGCCCAATCTGGCAACTCTCTCCTGTTGATTCAATTGTTTTCACTTAAGGAAAGTATACAGAATTTCCCTCTCCTACTTTTTTAACTTACATAAATAACTGTTTGAAGAATATATTTAATAGTTTATCCACATACTAAATCTAATGGGTATTTGGGAATGCCAATCTTGTTTTTCAAATAACTACTGCTTTTACAGTGTTGTAACAATTTTCTCTTTCCATCAAAACAAAGATTTTTGAGCTCATGTTACTAAACAGTACTCTCATTTCTACTTCTTGATGTTTGAATGCTTGGCTCATTGTTTCAAAGGAGAATTTCTAGATTCAATGAGAAATAAATGGGACAAGTCTCTACTCAAGGGCAAATATCCAATTCTGCACCTTGGTGCAGAATAGCAGTTGTGTTGTAAGGTTCTCATTGACAGCATCACAGTGGTTTCCATAAAAAGCCTCTTTGGTTCACTGTAGTTCTCTATAATCAATTTTCACTTTTCTGAGCCCTTTCTGAGCTCATCCAGCAAAACTAAACACTTTGCAACACAGGTTTTGCAGGCATTGCTAGAGGTTTTGCAGGCCAGAAGTGGTGGACTATTTCCCAGCAGTGTGAGAGTAACAATCTCGGGAATTTTTTCATACGTGTTGTATGGCATTAATCTGGCCTACAAGACCTCCTTATGCTGATGAAGGTCAAAACTGTAAGACTCCAGCTCTGCAGAGGTTTGACATTCAGGTTAGAAATCCATCATGGTGGGGATGGGAGACAATGACAGACCAAAAGGAAGACAGACCATACACATAAAGGCTTGAAGTATTATTTGGGGGAAAAAAAAAAAAAAACCAACAAAACAAACCCAGACACTTCCAAGGTCGGAATGCATTTATCAAAAATTAAACTTTCTCCCATTATGAATGATTTCAAGTTTGGGCTCCTGAGCTTGATACTGGACAGAGGCAAGGGCAAGTGACTTCTGTCTTAAATTATACAGCAGTATCATTAGGACCTATTATTAGAAGAATGAATAATTTACAAATGTAGCTTTAAGAATATTATAAGTAAAGAGTAGTTATAGATGTTTAAGTTCAGAAGACCTTAATCTTCTTTCTTCTGTGTTTGAAATCGTTCCATTAACGCCCTAAATATATTTCCTGGTAATTTCTGATGTTTTTCTATGAGAGCTTGGAGTGCTGCTTTCGTCTGTAGGGAAAGAGAAAAGGTTTTGATCAGAAAACCTCATCTTCATACTGCTCATACAGTAACACAATTTCTAGGCTCTTCTTAATCCTTTCAAATACCACAGAACTATTGCAAGTTCAAAATACTGTTCTTCCCTATTTAAGTCCACAGGATGTGATTGTGGCAACACTGCCATGAAACAGACCAACAAAGTACTATTCTCTTTTGTGTGGTAGCTGTGCTCACAAGCTGTATTAGTGATACACAAAAGTCAAACAGTAAATTAATGAAGAGACTCAGGTCTATAAAGCATGTTAAACACCTGCATGATGTACTGCAACTCAAATTCCTGCCCATGCCCAGGTTTGCATCAATAACACTCTTCCAGTGGGCATCAACTTTGCTTCTACACATGCTCAGAAGTGGCACTGGAAACACCACTGTATCTCAGCACATTTGACTTGTACAAAGTAATGCCCTCCAGACCCAAGGCCCCTGAAGGGACTGGTCCTGTCATAAATGCTCAGGCCACTTAGCTGCATGTGACAGCAGCCTTCACTTTCACTCTAAAAATAAACAGGCCAAGGAGTGCACAGCAGTTACTCTTATTACATAAAAGCTCCATAGGGAACATTCAAAAGCAGGGCAACATGAAAAAACTGTGGTGAAAACACACTTCCTATTCTGCCTAAACAAGCACAGGCTAGAGAATTCTTAAGGCCTGAAACAGAAGAACAGATAATTATTTGCCTCTGTAAACCAGTGGTAAGCAAGGGCAGATGTTCTTAGAATGTTGTTTGTTGGCACAAGCTCCCACTGTTTATATGAAGTAAGTGATCAATTCTTAAGTCCTTTACACAGGACTTTACACATCTGGTCCTAAGTGACTCTACAGACCTAAAATTTGAGCTTTATTTTTTGCTCTATATAATGGGAAAATGCATACTGAGCCATAGCCCAAAACATGAGATACAACTTTAAAATCACTCTAACTAAATAGTATTCTAGGGAATTCACGTTCTGGTGCCTTATTTAATAGAATCTGAACTTAAGTCAGAAGTAGGTGAGGGTTGGCACAAATGCAAGATACCAATGCATATTTGAAAGTAACTTAAACATATTCTCTGCTGAAAGCCAGGAGTTCTGATGTCCTGTCAGTGTGACCCCACAAAAGAAACAACCAGTTTTCCATAACCAGGGCCTAAGATATTGCAGACAAACATTTTAAGAGTCTTTTTGTAGTGACTCAATCATAAGGTAAACACAGAGAGACAACTGAACTGACACCTGCATGGTAAAGAAAAGTCTCTCTCAAGTGAAGTTTTCGGAATATTATGTGACCATCTGTGGAGTTTCCAAAAACACCTATTTCAGCCCACTCCATCTCACTGCTCAACCTCTTCACTGGTTTATGTCTTTGCACTGTGAAATCTATTAATAAACTGAATGAACATGAGGACCTGAAAATCCTTCCTATAAAGGCATCTAAATCTGAATTAGAGGAACATTTAGAAGTTAAATTGCTGGGTTAGAAGCTGGACAAAATAGAAACACACTAGACAACGCAGTGAAATGATTTACCTTTTTCTTTTATTGCATGTAATTCCAACAGTTTGTGAACATAGACTTCCTATGTTTGAAAGGCTTCGTTAGTATCTTTCTGAAACACAAGGAAGCAGAATGCTTCCTCTTGGGTGAAGTGCTTCTCTCTGTCAACTGAGAGCTGTCTTATCTGACCAAACTTCTTCAGTCTTTAAAGCAAGTTGTTTCTCAAAGCAAATATAGGGTGCAAATAACTTTAAAAGACCTAGAACATCTGCAAGTTGTAGCAATAAAAAGATAGTATTTAAGAAAGACATTCAGAGTTAGGCAAGTACAAAACTTACCATGATTCCACCAATTTCTAAAACTGCCTCCTAGACAGAAATCACAAGATTATTGCAGTGGTTTTTAGCAGAATATTCAATATTTTAAATTTACATATACAGATATCTATCTTACCTTTGCAGCTAGTTCCTCAGCAGTCACATTTGGTTCATATGGAATGGGTTCTCCAATAAATGTACGTAGCTTGACAGGAAACCCCCCGTACAGAGGAACTACTGGCAATCTAATACGCTCATATAGAGACCTAAGTATTTCTAATGTGAAAAAATGTAGTGGAAAGCAGGAGAAAGAAAGGTGGGGAGGGAGAAGGGGAGTGAGGGACGGTAAAAGAGGAAAGAGAGAGAGAGAGAGAGAGAGAGAGAGAGAGAGAGAGAGATTTGGATTATTCTGTAAAGTTTTTTTCCCCCACTAATGCCTTAACATTGAAACTGGCTTGCAAAGTAATCTAGCCCTCAACCCAGACTCTCAAACAATGTGTCATCTCAAGTGCTATCCTACCTTGACTTTCATTTCCTAAAAGTTGCATTAATGCTTATATCAGACTTATTTCTACCCTAACTTGGTGTGAAATCTTTCCCCAAAGAGTAGCTGAAACGAGAAGAAAGAAGAGGAAATTCAATAGCTGCCTCTCTGGAAAGGAAGAGAATGCTATGCAATACAGGTTACAGGTTCAGCTCATTTGACAGGTTAGCATTAGACACTAGTATTGGAAAACTGCATGTTCAGTCCTACTGAGGTCTACAGGATCAGAAAGAGCCTTATCTGCCTAAAAGTTAGTCATGCTAACATACGGAATTGCTCTTTCAGACCACACACTGGCTGTAGTTAATATAAAAAGAGAGAAAAAAAAAGGTGTTTCAATCAGCTCTAAGAGGACACATTCTTTTCCACATGCCACCTAAGCGTTAATCCCAAATGTACCCAGAAGAGATTCTCTGAAAAATGTGTACTAATATTATTATTCTCAATTTCAGACAAGAAACTCCATTAACTGGGGTGCTGGCATAAGAAAATCCTTACTGATCAAGAAGTGAAATTTTCTGAACACAACCTATTAAAACAAGGACAAAACTACTAAAACTGGAGTAACACCTCCAGTGATCAAGAACTTACATTCCTCTAGCAACCCTGCTGTAGAATACATATAGCATAAATGATTTTTGATTCAATTTTCTGTCTGGGATTCTCCTGAACACAGCAACAATTAATTGCTGTTTATTTTTGTACAATATGATGAATGTGTGAATTATTCCAGGTTCTGCATCTGATGCCTTGGCTTTCTCCATGCAATATATAGCTCTTAAACGGAGGGGGAGAGAAACAGAACTGTGTTGCCCTGCAGCCTTCTGATGAAGGCAATGATGCCACACTTGAGGCAGAATAGTGGTGTGGAGACTTGTCCAGGCCCCTCTGCTAGATAGTAACTAAGAGAATATAAAAAAGAGGGAGTTTAACACTAGCAAATGAGCAGAGATGTGAGCATCTAATCATCCCAGAGATGGACCCCTCAGACAAAAGACCCATCTATTGATGTTCTGGCTGCAAGTTCCATAGAGGTAAGGAAAGAGAGCTTCCAAATGCAAGGTTTTGTGAGGAACCAAAGGTCTAATGCAGAATAGTACAGCAACTACAGATTAAATGTAGTTCAAACCATTCAAACTTTAGGTACAGGTAGAGGTGTAAGCACAGAGCTTTAGGACAAAAGGAACTACATGCCAGTTGCAAATCCATTTGCTTTGCTTCTTAACAGACAGCAGAAAACCTAGGGCTGGCCTAGCAGATATAAGCAGAGAAAAAAGTGCTTTAAGTCTTCCTGCCTTTTTCTGGCTCCTTTTTTCTTTCTTCTAGTGCTTGTGTAAAAAATCCACTGTTATGCGGAAAATAACCTAGATGAGCCAGTATCGCATCTAATGCTGATATTAAATCCTAATAATATCTCTGAACTCTACCAGAGAGCAAACATCAAGAAACAAGGCTGTGATAAATCTCAAACTTATATGATGATTATTTCTATGGAGATAGGCTAAACACATATGGAAAAATAAACTACAGAAAAATAGAAAATATCTTACTTATTCCTCCTAATGTCCTAAAGCCTTCTCGAACATTTTGTGTAAACAGAGGAATGATGGGCTAGGAGGGAAAAAAAAAAATTAACAATTTAAGGAAGATAGCACTATCTAAAAAACTACCCCACTTAAACTCAACAGGCAAATTAATTTCAGAGGTGTTTCTCAGGATATATAGAGAGCAAAAAATGTATTTTGAAGTTCTGTGACCTTCTGCCATGAGGTTTCAAACTGGAGAATACTGCAATACTTCAGGGAGTCACTGTTTCAGCAAGTCTATTTTCTTAGAGCAGAATTTTGGAACCTATGGAGCATTTAGGCATCCCTCCCCGCATCTAGCAGTGTTTGCACTATTGTGACTTAAGTGCTTAAACCTCTTACCTAATTTGTAGTTATGCTTAAAGGGAAGGATTCACAGGATTGGGACACTAAACTTGTCTCCTCTCTGCTATGCTGACAGTATTGCTTCACACTTGATGTGTCACATTCAATACATGTCCATGACTTATTTCTGCTGATGAGTACTTGGAATGGTGTTGAATAGTTCAAGTTTTTATTGCTGTTTTTAAAATTTCAAACAGCTGTCAAGATTTACAAGAACTGTGAGGGCATCAGATACTACATAAAGTTTTTCAGTATCATTTTATAATATGTGCCCACTGTACACAGCATCATTAGACATACAGAACTCTTCATAGGATTTTCATGAACTCAAATTCTTTCAAACTTTTTAAAAACAAGCATGGAGATGAACTAGCACCCGTAACTTTTTGGACATGCATCAAGTTTGGGGTTTTTTGAGAGAAAAAAGTCTGTTAATAATTACAGAGAATAAAAGAAAGTGCAGCTGCCTAAACTGAATACATACAAATATCTTTATTCTAGAACAATCTTATTTGGAACATCTTATTTTTGACACAGAGGTAGAAATTTTTGTTTATATGACAAATTCTGGCAAAAAAACCTGCTGAACCAAGACAGCTTCAAGCTGAAGGTTCTAGTTTTAGATATATTTTTCGGATGTTTCAGACACATCCTTCTCTTCATGAGGAGTTTTGCTTATGATTCAAGGTGACTTAAAAGTTCATCTTTAATCTAAATAAAGATGTTTTTCCCACTTTCAGTCTGCCTCTGACACTCTATTTTGCTGCATCTCTCAGTGGTTTTTGGGGGGGGGATGAAGCTACAAAACCCTTGTGAGTGCATAAAGAGAATCAAAAACACATCCAGTAAATTAAATGCAACTAGTACAATCATAGTTGAATCTCAAGTATGGCCTTTAACATGCTATTATAATACATTAGTAAAATCTAAACCTATTGAAAATACCTGTTCTTTTCCTTGTGAGAAAAGTGACGCAGACTTGGGTCCTAAAAGTATTCTATTTCTGTATAAAATCCAGATATATAACTAGTCTGTCTTTAACAGCAACTAAATATAAAACTCCTGGTGTGAGACTTGCTCTTAAATTAGGTATATGCAGACCTGTGGACATATGCACACATCTTCCAAGTACAAATCTAGAATAAGAGTGACTCTGAAATTATTTCTAAAATAGTTACAATTCAAATAGATCACACACTCTTGTGCCTTAACAGTTGGTCCCCTATGAATAGTTACTCCTACCTGCCTGCTGACCAAGCCCAATGCTGTACACCAGAACTGAAGAGTTCACACCAGTGACCAGCCCTGGACATCTCTCACTACCATAAAATGCCAATACAATATGAAGTGCCAGTGAATCTATACCCTGCTGGGTCACACCACACTTCAGTGACAGAAGAAAGAGAAACACTGAGTTGGACTCCATGATTCTAATGGTCCCTCCCAACTCATCATATTCTGTGACTCTGATATATAGGGCTGTTTCCCAACCATGCTGGTCAGGGAGGGCTAAGCCATCACAATACTAATCAGGTATGTGTAAAATAGTACATGCTCATAAGGAGAAAACATCCTGTATTTAAACTCTTGCTCTTTTAAACTCTGGATTTCCTAACCACACTATTCTTAGCTGACTCTAAAGCCTTCTCTATCAAAAGCAACAAAAAGGGTCTTGAAATGTAGTTGTTAGAGCAAGTAGACCACACTCATGAGAGCAAGAAATCTAGCATCAAATATATGATAATCAAAGCAGCTTTCTCTGGAAGAAAATACTAATAACTTAGCTTTCTTTGCTTCTCTTCCATGATGCGTCATACTTACCACTTTTGCATCAATGGCCACCTGAGCAAAGCCCTTCCGATCACTCCACAAAATAGTATACATTTCATCACTGAAAAGTGCTTCCCGAACTCCACCTGGGGCAATGGCTAACAGATGGCCCATCTTCAGAGTCCTAACACAAGCTTCTTTTGGTCCATGTATAACTCCAAATACATCAAGTAGTATTCTAAAACCTGAAGGGTAAGATAATATTAATGCAGAAAATGTTAGTTCATACTACCATTGACTTCAGAGTCCCAGCACAGAACACTATGGCTAAAACTAAATTGTCTAATAAGCTGTGTCCCCAAGACGGACTGAAGCATTAAGTTGAATGTACAGATTTTGGTCTGCAAAGTTTAAGATTTAGGGGTTTCAGTGGCTTTTTGTCACAGTCAAGTCAGCTGTTATCCCACAGTCAGGGCTAAACTGAAAAAGAGCTGTCAAGCACTCTGTGATATCTTTCACATGTCACTTCAAAGGAGTTGTTTGACTCAAGGGCACTGGCTCCTTGCTCAAGCTCTACTGTTCAAACATAGCACAGTCCAAACAGAGAGCCCAAGAAGCAATACCAGGAAATTGTTGTGGTTCTGTTTTGTGAACTTCGGCAAAGAACAGTAGCGCATAAGGAGAATGACAAAGAAAATGCATCATTGTCTGCATTACAGATCACTGCAGCAATTGATTCTGGTTCAGTCTGTGAGTACCCGGATGACATTTCATATAGAGAGGCATCTGGTAAGCCTCAGTTGGGTACACTCACCTTCTGCTAATATTGTAACTGAAGTTTTTGACCTAAGGTTACATAAAACTCCTCATATCACATTGAATTTGACATGTCATTCGGACTGTACTCTTCAAGAAACAGCAGAACATCAAGAATCTGCTACAAGCATCAAAAGGAACATACCTGATCAATTTAGACAGCTAGACTATTGTTAAAGGATATACCTAGCACAAACCTCTGTTCGCAGGAAATAAGTTCTGTTCAGTTGGTTCTTATACAGTATTCATGAGTAGTGCATACCAAAATGGTAACTTTGGATGACTGGGCAGTAAGGGAAACATTACTTCTCTTTCCTGAAGTTTCTCATTGAAGCAAACAACCTTATCAGCCACAGACAAGGAGAAAGAACTGATCTAGTCGAGTTTGCCTCCTAATAACAAATGAATAGCTGTGACCATAAACACACATTTGTTACATACACACACAGGTTAAAGGAGAGCCCAAAGTTAAGAAGACAGAGGTCTGTCTTCTCTTACAGCTTGCATAAACTAAAGGCTTAGTGAAAAAAGCATGAGCCAACACATTATTACTTTATTCTTAACTAAACTCTAACTAGTCTTTGTAGCTGGTGTGGGTATAATTATTCCCAACTCATCTCTACACCAATCAGGATCTGTCCTTACACACGGCAACAGAACACAAGCTTGTATTACACCTGTCTCATATTTTGCTGTGTCTGCCTCACACACTGCTGATGACACTCAGTCTTCACCTTGCAGCATTTGCATGGAAGAACACCTGGAAATAGAGTTTGCCTAACTGAAATTCATTTCTTTCAAGTACTTTTTTTGTGGGATTTTCCATAGCTGATTTTTACAATGCTTGACATTCCCGAACTAATTAAAGCTCTCTGAAATGTATCCAGTGGTAAAAAGCTGCCTGTCTCTAAGTCCTTTCTGTCAGTGAGCTCAGGAAACAGACAAAACAATCATGAAAAGGGTTGAGATGAGCAGCAAAAGAGACTCCAAGGAAACAAAGACTGTGACAACACCATTCCTTTTTAAACTGGATACACTGGGGAAGGGGTGAGAGGGAGGGTGTGCATGACAAAGCAATACCATGAGTCTGTCCAGATCATATATCAGTAAAAAAATAACAGAATATTGACAGAATAGAAACAAAAAAATGTACTACAGAATAGTTGTCCAGGGCGGTTTCAAGTCTCCACAAAATTTCTCAGCTGCATTTCCTTTGTCAACTTTTAGTATCAACTTTACATTCTGAGCTGTACTTCACAGCCTTGCCAGAAGATCACACGTTACTATTGTTATCTCTGATTCAGTACCAAAGAAGAACCTGGCTCCCTTAAAGCAACTGAGAGACAGAATCTGACACAGTGGCCCTGAAAGCACAGCCAGGGTACCTGTGTCCAAGGCAAAGGTCACCACAAAGTTAGAAGAAACACTGGAGTAATACCAGGTAGCACTGCATGAAAGGGACTAAGAATCCATTTTTCCATTTTAAACAACAAAACAACTCTCAAAATTATCTAAACATAATTTTTCAGCCATTCAGAACATGTTCTTCCAGACACCAAGAAGTTCAAACTTAATTTTATTCCACAGTTCTACCTGAACTCTGCCCTTTGTCCCAACATACTCTTCTCCTACTTTCCACAAGACTGTGTTGGCAGAAATGTTTGAAAACCCTTTGGAGAGTACCCAATAAGGCATGTAATGCTGCTCTCAACTTGTGCACTATGTACATTTTTCTATCTTGGTCCCAGTGACTGTAACATCAGGGCTGTCAGCTACCAGACAGTAGGATGGCAAGGATGTCATCACTCTCCCATGGTCGAGCTTTAGGAGACAGAGAGGAACAATTTAGACCATTGAATCCAAGCTTCCGCAGTTGTAGGTAATCACACATATATATCTGCAGAGCATCTAGTCCACAGGGTGCTTTGCAACACCTTGTGCATGTAACAGACAAGAAGCCAAAGCTCTTTTCTTCTGGACCATTACAGGAAAGGGACTGTCTTACATAAAATAGAAGGCAACCTTTTAAAGAGGGCTCCCAGATTACTTTAAGCAAAAATGGCCCATACTATAGGAGAGGATGATGGAGAAGAACATAAGTTAAATCTCAGTCCTCTCTGAATGTTCTGGGAAAAGGCTTTCCCCTAAACTTAGAGAAGCCAGTGTATTTCTGAGCACTGCACAGCTAAGAGGCTAAAGGAGCCAGAAAGCTGGAATATTTGGTTTGTTTTTTCCCTGTGGAAAACCTCTAGTTATAAAAGAAGGGAAAAAAAAGAATTCGTATGACCATATTCTTCTCCTCGAAAATGCAAGAAAAGCACACTTAATACTAACACAATTCTGACACATCCATGTGTGTCCAACAGACCCCCCTAAATGCACCGCTACCCCTTCCCATTTCCCCTGCACTGAGCATAATAACTTTTCTTCTGAAAAGGCATCCAATTTAATCTGAAAGCTTAATCAAGATCAGACAGCCTTAGTATTAGGATAAAATTACACAGTCTTTCTGGTTTGATTCACAAGAGAAGCAGCATCTACCCGAGTTGCCAGTCATAGATTACTGTGCTTATTTTGAAACAATCCGCAACATTTTCTGGGCTCTTTGGATTTGTCTCCCTGAACAGCCTCAATTTCTTCACAGAACCAGACAATTATGTAGATTAGAAGGAAGTTCTGGAGGTCATCTTGTCCAGCCTCCCACTCAAAGCGGGTTCAACCAGATCAGTCTATTCAGAGCCTCACCCAGCAGAGTTTTGAAAGTCTGCAGGGATGGAGATTCCCCAACTTGCCTAAGCGATCTGTTCAGGTGTCTGATAACTCTCATAGTAAAATACCTTTCCACATGTCTAATCAAAATTTCCTATGTTGCAACTTGTCTCTGTTGCTTCTCAATCTATCACTGTGCACCTGTGAGAAGAGTGATTCCCTCTTCTCCCCATCCTCCCACTAGGTCGCCTGAAGACAGCAATAGTATCTATCTTTCTCCACCCTTATCTGGGACAGACCAAACAAATCCAGTTCTCTCAACCTCTCCTTGTACACTGTGTGCTCCATCATCCACTGAACGTGTGTCGGTGTACCATGTACCAGGGAGTCCAAATCTGGACACCACATCACGAGATGTGCTTGCACAGGGGCCATGCCAAGGGAACAAATCTCTTCACTTAAGCAGTGGCTACATTTATGCTAAAAGAAGCTCACCTTGCAGTTCATCTTCTTTGCTGTAAGGGCACACTGCCAACTCACACCCAACTTGTTGTCCACTAGAATCCTAAGTCCTTTCCTGCAAAGCCCCCTTTTATCCAGAGTATTGTTGCATAGACTTGCTCCATCCCAGATGCACAGCTCTACATTTGCTTTTGCTGACCTTAGTAATATTTCTGACAGTTGAATTCTGTGAAGTCACTCCGAGAACAAGCTTTAATGCCCAGTATACCAACAGCTCCCCCAGTTTGGTATCATGAGTGAATTTCCTGTGCATGCTCCAGCCTCTCATCCAGGGGTACTAGAAAAACACTAAGCAGCAGTGGTCTCAGTATCAATCCCTGAGAAGTGCCTGTAGCTGTTAGCTAGATGTTGTACTGCTGAAGCCAGTTCTTCAAGACCAGCCATTCAGCAAGACGTTTCTGCAATGCTACTGAACGATATTTTGGGGACTCATAAGTATACTCACACTTTGAGCCTTCTGCTTATTTTAAAGCAGGAAAGGAGTAAAATACAATGCCCCATTTGATAAACAACTATGCCCATATAGATACAGTATGGAGCCAAATCTGCATCATGAAGTAGATTAAGTTAGGCATCTTGTACGCAAAAGATTTGATAGCCACTGATAAATGAATCTGTTGGCAAAAGCAGTTGTAGAGGTGAAGCCATACTGTGATCAGTATGAAAAAAGTTATTTTCAGGGACTAAGGCTGAAATAAATGTATACCAACAAAAAAATAGTTTTCTTATATGAGATGGTTCCACTAAGAGCCCCAGTATAGTACAGAATGCTCCTTGTAATTCATTTTATGAACTGACAGGCCTTTAACCACAAACTGAACTTGTGAAAGAAAGTGGGTACTACTGTATTTCACACAGACAAAAAAAGAAAACCTTCACATAATTAATTTTACCAATTGGCAGTGCACTTCATTAGGCTGTCTAGCCAAACTCCTTCCCTAAACATACTTTTCATTTTCTATCTGCTTCACCTTATGTCTCACATAAACATGTTGAACACTTCTCTAGCTTTCCTCCAAAACAGATTCTACTTGAAACAGTCTTCCTGGGGACAGGTTCCACTGCCTGCCATCCTCAACTGGGTAAGAGCTGGGTGGAATAAGAAAATATATTGTCTCTCCAGACTAGTATTCTTAACTTATAGGGTATTTGCAATTCTTAATCAGTTCACACCACTCATTCTGCCTTTATTAATGGAAAAGAAACATCTTATTGAAATCTTTGCTAATATTAATACAGAGAACACTGCTTCTCCTACAATCTCCTTCTCTTTGTTTCTAAACACCTTAGAGTCATTGGAAGGTGCTGCCCAGACAGGACTATATCCCATCCTTGCATGGGCCAGTCTCATTCTTGTTTGTAAAGAACATGCTCTATTTCAAAACTTTCACTAAATTTGTCTGAATGTCTGTTCTGACATCTGTGTTCCTGCAACACTATTTTTATTAATTACACAATTAAAAAATTAAAATAAGAATTCCAAAACTGCTTGTTTATACAATGAAGTATGTTACCTGGTAATCTAAAGACAAAATGATCAGCTACTACGTTGCAGCTTCTCTTCTGCATTATATAAAGTCTCGTTATGAAATAGATAAAGTCAAGGGGAGTAGCTCCATGATAAAACACAATAAGTCCGGGTCCTTGAGGAATATTTTCGATACCATGAATCTCATAACCTGTTAAGAGTCAAAAATGAAACAGATGTTAAATTTTTATACAATTCTATCCCAAAGAAACCAATTTGCAGCAAGCTGGCAAACGGAAACCAAATGGATTGAGAAGTGGTAAGAGCAAAGTGACTGCTAATAAGTCAAGAGGTAACTTGCAGCACCTACAGGAAATACAAGTTTCTTCACAGAGAACACACACAGAATACAAGTTGCTACACAGAAAATAAAGTTTCATTTAAGGCACCACACTCTAAGAAAGCGCGACTAAGTGTTTTGTTTTAATGTTGATTTTTTTTGCTCTATCTCAGACTGTATAATTTATCCTTATTTTTTGAGTTCACTGTTTTCAAGGCTGCAAAGTCCTCTGAATCAATCATTCAAGAGAAATCAAAATACGGATTGGAGTGGTGAAACAAGTATTTCAAGCTTCTATTAACCTTTTGAAGTTCTTTGCCACCAGTGACTGTTTTAGAAGATTTGACATGACAGCACTCATTTTCATGCCTCCTTTTACTCCAGGATATGAAGATTATCTTTGCTACTTCTCTCCAAGTTATATACCTGTTCCAGCTTTCCATCACTATATACATACATCACTATATATTAAAAGCTAGTTGGGACTATATGTATGCCTGGCTGAAAAATACATAAAAACACATAAGCTTTTTCCTGATCTCACATTTCTATTCAAGTTACACTGTAGAATATATTCAATTAACACAAAATTCATCAGTATAGAACATATTCAGTTAACAGCCAGTACTATTACATTATATTTTTTTAAAAATAAAAATAAAACAAGCAAAAAGAAAACACCCAAAAAAACAAAACCAAAAAAAACCCCTCAGCCAAATCCTGTCACTTCTTCCAAAGTTAATCAGGTCTACAATTCCTATTCGATTAATTTAATTCTGAAGGTACTCCTTGGCTCTTCTCCCTCTATTTTACTTTGCATACCTGTGGAGCTGCAACACATTGCAAGTGTATCATCTCTCCCATCCCAAGGGACCACTAACTGCTCCATGCCAACCAACTTACACACATGGCATTGGCATAATACACATGAAGTTAAAGGTATCAATCACCAGGTTTAGGGGTTGGTTTTTCTTTTTTTTTCAATGCTGTTAGATTTCAGGATGGAAAGTTCTTTTTATCATATCCCGATGAATCAAGTGGGGGAAAAAAATAACTGGAAAACATTTCATTCTTTAGCAAGAGAAATGTATAGATAAGTGGGAAGCAGCTGGCAGGGCAGAAAAAAGTCACAGCTGTCAATGAGGAACAGGATAAGAATCTTCTTGCACAAAAAAAAAAAATATCAAACCTTATAAAAAGAAAAAGTTACTAAGGATTAAAAGAGCCAAGGCCTTAAAAAAATAATTCTCTTGTGAAAAAATGTAAATAGCTTTTTATTGTGAAGTGAGCATTTTAAGCTCTTTGATGTAGCTGTTGATTTTGATGTAGTGCACTTCTCTAGATTTGAAAAGTTACATCTTAGTCTTACAAAGTCTATCTGATACAGCTGCTGCACCATATGGTTATCAAGGCCTTAAAAACCCGTTTCCCTTTGACTAGAGAACAAATAGAGATGATTTTCAAGAAGGATTTATTCTTTATGTAAATTGCTCTTATGTATCTCTTTCTCCTTTAGCTGCATCTAGACTGAATGGCTCTGAAAGAGACTTATGATTTCCTTTGAGAGAAGAGCCAAATCATTTATTAAGTCTGTCTTTATAACAAAATAATAGCAGAAGGACAAAGTACAGGGCCCTTAGTTTTGACATTCTAGTAGAGAAAGTAGTAGTCCAAAATACAAAGACAAATAAAAAAGTAGGGTTCTGTAAGAGTGTCAGGCTCAGAAGTTACTTTCAAGAAGCAACTAAATGCGCCTTTTAGCTATCATTTGGAATTTTATATAAGACTGGTTAAATGCAATTAAATTATGCTAACATCTGCTGGCTGACACACTAGCTATCAGGGAACTGCCACTTAACTTACAGTCTTCATGTATTGACTCTGAAACAATATAATTAATTGATCTAGTTTTTACACAACACACATTTCAGGTCTTCTGCAAATGAGGAAATCCAGGATTTGTTATAAAAAGCAAAAAATGGAAAAAAGGCAATTTTAAAAATTGAGCATATATTCAAACAGAACAGAGATCTCATTTTATAGCAGCAAAGGAATAAATACATAAGATAAAAACCTTAAATTCAAAAAAGTCTCAATGTCTTTTTTTTTTTTGTCTCAAGCACCACTAACAGTCACTCATAAAACAACAGCAAAAAAAAAAAAAAAAAAAAAAAAAAAAAAAAAAAAAAAAAAAAAAAAAAAAAAAAAAAAAAAAACAAAACAACCCAACAAAAAAAAAGACCACCAAAAAACAAACCTGGCCTGAATTCGCATGCACCAGCAGCAATGATCAGACATATATCGATAATCTTGAAAGCTAAATGAGGAATAAGAGCTTCAGAAGTTTTTAATGAAAGGTCAGATCTCACTTACCATGCCATATTCTTCCATGTCCATCCCATATGGCTGCCACCATTTCTCTCGCACCTATCCAAACATCATGGGAATACGCTTCCTTTATTTCATTCTTCCTTTTATAAATATGAAGGCAGAGAATGGAAACATAGAAGAGAATGACCATAACTCCTGGAAGTACAAAGACTAACACAAGTGGAAAAAACAACCACAAAATGTAGAATGCGTAACTCAGATAATCTCCGATATCCTCCACACCAGTCCATTCTTCCAGAATATAACTCAGGCAAGTTAAGTAGGACAGAGATGTTGGTCCTGCAGTACAGGATTCATTTCCACCTGTCATCTCCTGTTTAAAATAAAATTTTCAAAAAGTATGTTAATAAATCTTCCAAAAATATAGATCTGATTAATCATATAATAAACCTCTCTGATGCATTTCATTCATATACCATCTACCCCACATTCCAGCAGCACCTACTAGAAACGTAACAGTTCACGCAGCAAAACTTTTACTTGATCTTTGCCATTCTTTTCTTTTGTGTACTGAAAATGCTGACAATTCTAATGGAGAAAGATGCTGCAATTGCTTAATTTCAGGCTAGGATTTTATCTCATTGAAAACTATTCATACCACACAGACCCAGAAAATGTATACTGTTACCAGTACCAATTAATACCAAATTCTTGAATTGCAGAAAGCTGTATTGATAAGTCTAATTTATTGTTACAATAAAATAAAACCTTCTCTCAAGTACTAACTACAACAGGAAACAGCACAATCTCAAATCCAGTCCTTTGACAAAAACCTACTGAACACTTCCACTCACTACAACCATAGGACGACTCAGGAAGAAGATTCTCTCAAATAAGAAAGTTTCAGCTCTGGAAAGACCTCTTTTTGCACCCAGAAATTTACTGACAGTGAAACGTCAAGACCCAGAGCACAACACTGAGAGGCACCAGAAAGGACAAGGAAAAAAAAGATCACAAAAAGTCCTCTTTAGAGTTTTAACTGCTCTGGCTTTACTGTGTCTATGTGCAAGAATCTCTCCAATCCAATACCAGCTCCTAAAAAGTTACCAGCCCACAGAAGTCAAGCCTGGAATTTCAGGCTTACTACAACGTTTTTTCTTAGCTTGGTACAATTTAGGGGACAACTTGCTATTCACTTCACCTTACAAACACAGGACAGCCTAAATGATTGGCTATTTTAGCTACAGTGCTTGAGCTGCAAACCTAATACCTCCGGGTACAAAAGTTATTCTAGGCTAGAAAAAAACTGGTTGGTCAATATTCCAAGTTCAGACAGTCAGGACCAAGAAGAAAAAAATGTTGCAACAGCAAAATAGGCTTGTAGAGAGAAATGGAATAAGAGCAGCATTTCTAAGAATGAAAAAAATCTAAGCTTGAAGTTGCTGTGTTTTGTTTATTAGAATGTGACTTAAAGCAGGTATGACTGCAAAGCTCCTATGCCAAACATATATGCCTATAGACAGACATGTATATCTATTATTATTTTACTCTTGCTCTGTTTTTGCAAGAAAAAAGAGACTGAGATACAGAACACGATACTTCTTTCAGAACACCAGTGACAGCAAAAATTACAAAGCAGATCAATTTTACTCCACATCTGCTAAGGAACACTGAAACACATACTAGAGTAGAACTCATTTCACTTATTTTCCTATCTCAATTTTCCCTCACATTCTGACAGAGCAAGGATGTCCCTTTTCCTTTGATTTTGGAAATTGGCCTCTACACACATTACTCAAGATAACTCCTATTTAATGAGAGAAGAAAGATAATCTTTGCTCCCACAATCCATGCCTGTTCCAAACTAATTCAGGCTTACAACATTTTGCTCCTCAGCATGTTCTTGAGGACAATGTGGTGGGCAGCTGATTTATCTCCAGCCACATATAAGCACATAGCGTTAGTGACATACCTTCACTGATTTCCTGCACCTGTCTTTGGGGTGTGTGGGAGAGCAAGAGAAAGCTCTTTTTCATTCCAGTTGCCAGAGCTCAACTCCAGAACCTGTCAGGCAGCAAACACCCACAGCAAGTATAAGAAACACAACTTGTGAGACCAAGTAAGATTTAGGAGTAGCATTCAACACTGCAATATTTAACAGTTTGTTATGCCTGGACTTCTCCAGTGGCTCCACCTACTACCTAGAGAACAATATGGAGCATGGGTCATGGCACAGCAGCCTTTTTTCAAAACTGAGAGGCGATTATATAGCTTTTAAAAGAATACTTATAGCTATATTCCCCCACGTATTATATATTTTAATTGTTTACGGCTTTTCCCAAACCCCAAATCTTCCATCAAGTAAATTTAAAGTCCTGTTCACACATGTAAGTCTTGCAAAATATTACATGTCTTTTTGACTGCAATATTCAATGCAATACCTCAAATGCAATCACTGCAGTTCTTAAAGTTTACCTGCATATCTGTGTGCTAACCTGCAAAAGAAATTAAGACCTAATATCTTCTGTGCTACCAGCCACAGAGGTAAGAGCTAAAGCACTGCCTTCCCTTAGGATCAATGATGCTTCCTCATATTGAAGAGCACCACAGGATAATTTATACTGGAATTTATACTGTCCAACTTCTTCCTAGATAACCAATTAAATCAGGCTGGTCAATGAAGCTTCATGTCCAGTCCAGTTTGCAGTATCACCATGGATGGAGATCCTCCAGCTTCTTCAGGCCCCAGATCCCGTGCTTGAATACTTTCATGGTGCAAATGTTTTTCTTTATTCTGGTTCTAGAGTTCCCCTTACCACACCTTGTGTCTGTTGCCTCCTGTCCCTTTGCTGTGAAGATTCTACTTCCCCCTCTATAATCACTCATTAAGAGCAGCAGTAAGGTCATCAAAAAATGGGTAGAACGGCAATGAAAAAGAAAAGGCAAATTATGATCTAAAAAAGCCCAGGAGTTCCACATTGAACACCAGTGCTACATGCTACTAACAGATAACAACACTGGTCTATTCCAACTTGCTGTTGAGCAGTTCAAAATATACATTTTTAAGTCCTAACTTGCTAATGCAACAGCATATACTTTTCACCAGTCACAAAGATGCATTTGACTAATGACAGCGTACACTTACTTATGCTTACACTTCAGGCTTTATGATGTGGAAACAAGGCTAAAACACAATTCCCTTCACTGACTTCTAGCATATGATCCAGAAAAGTCCTGAAGTAAAATACAACACAGGCCTTCAGCTGCAATCAGCAGATGTTGGAATAACTGAGACCCAGCTGATCAGAATAGCAGGAGCGATTACGGGCAGCAACACGCTGTGCTCTAAACGACACACAGCACGACTCCAGCATGCATATGCAAGGTGTAAGTGAAACCTCTGGAGGACATCCCAGCACTTCCAAACTAGAAAGACACTGCGAAGCAGCAGCTACGACATGTCACTGCCAACAGAAACACACGGCTATGGAGAGAGCTTCTACCAGAATTAGTACTGCCACCACAGGCACACACACACAAAAAAAAACCCCAAAAAACCAAAAAACAAAACAAACAAACAAAAAAAAAAATCCGAAAAATACCAGAAGACCCTGATAATCCTGGTAATGTCCCCTATGACAGTAGAGACCCTAGGAGTCAGAAGGTGATTTAGCCCTTGTTTTGGCACAGGAACTGGGCGGGCTTCTGTGCCGGCGGGTCAGTGCTGGTTCCTTCTGCAGACCGAAGGAGAGGTCGAGACTCGTTTTCCTGACAAGAAGGCCACAGCCCCGGCCCAGATGCCCCCACGAAGCGCACCTGGCTCCCACCGCGCTCTGCCCGCAGCCCCTGTGATTAAAGCAAGGCCCCGAATTCGGCGGTGACAGAGGCCACCACGGCAAGTCACCCCCGGCCCGGGCACCTGCCGGGTGGCAGCGGAGCCAGGCCCGGGCCCCTCCACCCGCCCGGCAGCGCCCGCTCACCTCGCCCTGGCAGCGGCGGGTCCGGCTCCAGCCCCGCGTCCCTGCCGGGGCCCGGTTTTACTCTCCGCCCGCCGCCCCCGCGGAGGCCGGGTGCCCGCGGGGCGGCCGGGCCGGGGCGGCTCCCGGCGGCGGGGCGGGGGCGGCCGGGCGCCCTGCGGAGCGGGGGCGGCGGCGGGGGCGCGCAGGGCAGCGGGAACTCCGCGCCGCCGGGGGCGCGCAGCCGCCCGGACCCGCGTCCGGTACGCACCGCGCGCCGCTTCCGCCGGGGGGGGGGCGGGGGCCGCCAGGGGGCGCGTGGTGCCCGCGAGCGGGAGGGGCGGGGAGGCGGGGGCGGAGGGCGCCGCCTGGCGGCGCGGGTGGACAGGGAGGGAGCCCGGAACCACAGCATTCCAGAGGGGATTGGGCTGGGAAAGACCTCCGAGGTCATGGAGACCAACTTGTGACCGAGCACCACTATGACAACTGGACCACAGCACTGAGTGCCGCGTCCAGCCTTTCCTTAAACACCTCCAGGGACTCCACCGCCTACTGGGCTGCCCATTCCAATGGGCATTCTAATCTGTGAAGAAATCCCTCCTAATGTCCCGCCTAATCCTCTTCTGGTGCAGCTTAAGACTGTCCTCTCATACTGTCGCTGGTTGCCTGGGGAAAGAGGCCGAACCCCAACCGGGTGCAACCTCCTTTCAGGGAGGGATAAGGTCACCCCTGAGTCTCCGTTTGCCCAGATTAAACCCCCAGCACCAAGCACCCACTGTTCACCCTCCTGCCCTGAGCACTGCACACCTCCCAGCCGCACCTTCCCTGGTACCTGCCGGGTGGGTGCAATCCTCCTTCTCCAGCCCCGCTGGTGATGCCCCAGCAGCAGCACCCATACCCAGGACCCGCTCGTAGCCACTGCAGTACATGAGCATTCCAGACACTCTGTGCTTCGGACACGGCATTCAGGGCGTTGTTAAGGCATTCCAGACTGCCCGACAGCTGTGGGTGTAATCCCTGGATTCAAGTACAAAAATAAACAATGGATTTAGAAGTACAAATCAGTCAAAGAAGTAAGTGGTGTTCCAGTGACACCGGGTGCAGCTCCAAACACGCGGGTACCGATGCAGATACCCTACCTGCTAGGACGACATGGAACACTGCCATGGCTGCACCCGCAGCCTTCGGTGGGATGAACTTGGCCAGCTCTTCCAGATCCCCTCCTGCTGTGCCTTTCTGACCAGCTCTCTTCTACACGGACATCATCCGCCTGTTCGACATCTGCAGCTGCTCAGCTGAGCACCTGCACACGGTTTGCTGTGTACTGTTTCCATTCTGGCCCAATTAATAAATGCAGACTTGTGCACACTCTTTACTGTGTAACTGCTTCCACGGTCATCCTGTTAATGACCTGGTCACAGCCCCAAGCCTGCCAGAGCTCAAGAGGAATTTGGACAGGCACATGGTGCGACTCCCACAGGGGCTGTCCTGTGCAGGGCCAGGAGTTGGGGCTCGATAATCTTTCTGGGTTCCTTCCAATTCTGGATATTCTACAACTCTATGATTTTATTAATTTACTGTGTTATCAGTGTGATAACTTTCCCTAATGCAAAATCCTGTCGCTTGAGTTGGTTAAACCTTTTACACAAAAAGCTACAAAAACAGAATTTCCCCGCATTACTTACTGGGCAAACTATACCTAACAAGAGTCATAAATACTGTTTTCGTTTTGAGGCAGGCACAGGTAATTTGCTGGCTTTCATTTCTTTTTTTGTTGTGTGATGGAGAGGCTAGAAAATAAGTGTAGCAAGGGAGTGATTTGATCTGCAATTACATTTCTATTTGTATGACAACTCTAGTTTCTGCAACACCAGTTTTTAGTTCTAGTTTCTATAATACTGCTGTAAAAAGAGCAAAAATTTAGAGCAAGCCACTAAAAAGTAAAACTTATTATTAGAGCAGTACTATAATGTTTCTGGAAAAATTGTTTACAATTTTTCATTAGAAAAATAACATACATCATTCAAAATCCCTCCTGTTTCTCAGTAATAATTTTGTCTATCATCTTGAGACCCCAGAAAACTCTTAGACAACTGTGACAGAAGACAACAAATAGAAATTATTTTTTACTCAGAGAAGCTGCAGATAGCACAGTGGATGCTGCTAAAAGATGTAATAGCCCTGGAGAAAATTAAACCTTGTTAGAAAATATTAACAGCCGTCTGAAATAGCAGAGATAGAGACAGAAATCTCTACTTTGAAAGACAATCAGCGCTCTGATTACATATCTCCTACTCAAGGTGAGTGCTCCATTGTGAGTTGCAGCGCAGCACAGCTCCTGGCATCATGTATCAGAGAGCATGGCATTTGAAAGGTTGTGAAAATTCTGATTACTGAAATGGTTAATTGGTCACAGAATCAGAATGGTTAAGTTGGAAAGGAAGTTTAAGACCATTGAGTCCAATCAATAACCTAACTCTGCCAAGCCCACCACTAAACCATATCTACAAGTGCCACATCTACACATCTTCTAAATACCTCCTGAGGTGGTGACTTCACCACTGCCCTGGGCAGCCTGTTCCAATGCTTGATAACCCTCCCAGTGTACAAATTTTTACTGATATCCAATTTAAACGTCTCCCAGCACAACTTCCTTTTCCTCCCACCTGGCCACAACCATGCTTTCCAGTAGTTGTAGGTGTTGGTCCCCACATAGGCTCCTTTTCTACAGGCTAAACAACCCCACCTCCCTCAGATTTTCCTCATAACACTTGTGCTCCAGACCCTTTACCAGCTTTGCTGCCCTTCTTGGGACACATTCCATGATGATATTAATGTACTTGAAAAACAGGAGAGCCAGACAATGATTCTGTCCAGTCCTTCTACAGTCTCTGCAATACAAAGAAAGACTTCAGATTCTATTTACTTATAAAGCCTCTTGCTTCTTCATCTGTGTCCATTTTAGTATTCTATAACCTTTTCCTTTAGTTCCTTTTCTCCCTTGACTTAAGCTCAGGCTTTGAATTTTAGCTTGTATCACTGCAGTGCAGCATGTAAGACTTCATGGTTTGAATTCCTGCTTATGTCCAGGCATATCAGTCTGCATCTTGATCCGCTTTAGTTTATCATCTCCTATGCATGCTGAGTCTCTGCTGGGAGAAAAATCTTTCTGCCTGTATACAGCAATTGTAGTTAGGGTGTTCAAGTAAATATTCCTGTATCTTTAGACAGATTTGAAGGCTTTTTTCAGGACAAGATTCCTGTCTTTTTGGTCCAGGGAAATACCTCACTTGTGCATCCTTCTCCCTTCACCAGATGTGCAAGAAATACTTGTGAAGAGGCAGGGTCAGGGAAGAATTTATTTTAATCCAAAGAGCAGATTTAGTTTCTTACTGAAAAATGGGCAAACATTACATGTATTTCCTTAGATACTATGTAACCTTTTAGGGTGTTGAGAGGAAAGATTATTTACATATTAAAAGTACATGAAGGAAAAATGAGGGACAAAAATTACCTATCTTGGTCTTTTAAGTTAAGACTTGGTTGCATATAATGGCATATTGAATAAATTACACAAAGTTGTCCCACTTCCACCTGTAACAACATCCCACAGCATGTAAAAACTAACTTTGAACCAAAATATCTGTTTGGCAAGGCAGTCTTGTGGAAAACTGAAAGTTAGTACAATCTGTACCAGCAGTGTTGCAGTACTGCATTTTTAGGCAAACCACCAGTGATGATAAGCCTGAAAGATGCATTGCCTAAGAAAGCTCCCCCCAAGGCTGTTCACTGGGAGATTTGAGTAAATACAGCACAACCATACTGCATACACCATATCCAGGGATTTTCAGGCTGGGGCAGCCTCATCCACCAAACAATGGTGGTGTGGTGCAATAGACCATGCACAAACCAGCTCGGACTTGAAACTACTTTCTACATGTATTTGCAATATTTGCTACACTGAACTAAAGATATTTTTTCCCTCTCTTTGAGAAATCTTTTTCTGTGGGGGAAAATTCTTGGATGCAAACAGTCCTGCTTCCCAGGGTATGCAGTACTAAGCTGATGGGTTTGAAGGAGTCTAACATCTGCTTTAATGAGATTATGTCTGTTTTTTGTAGTCTCTAGGAGAATGATGTAAGCAGTAGCCATTTACCTAAAGCAAGATAGTTTGTTCTGACATACCTTTCTTGGGACCCATCAGACCTCGTGGGGTGGTCTCTGGTGGGACAACACCAACCCTGAGGGTCTGCTCTGAGACCAGACTGTACTCAAAACACAAACACACAGATCTAGACAACACCACTAAGACTCTCAGATGTAAGTATGTACTTGTTTTAGGAATCAGGAAAATCTTGGCTACACTATTTCCTTTGGGGGAATTTAGCTGTTGGATTACTATTTTACATAAGTCATCTTCATCAGTTTTTCTTAGTTTAAGATATTCTCAAAGACATGGAGGAACTTTCTAGAGGTTGTTTTCTTCCACCAAATCTGTAGAAATTTGTAAATTAAACTGGTTAACACCAGCTATTAGTGACCAGTACTGTAGGACATTGGTTTTTTACTGTGTGCTGTAAAACCAATGAAATAAACATGAGCATTCTAATCACTTTTACGGCGTTTATCAAATCTCTCCAGTAAAGCCTTCCATATGTTGCCTGGGATTGTTTGGTGCTTGCTTATGAGAGCCTGGACAGCAGTCTTTGTCTGAAAAGAGAAGAGAAATTTGCCTTTACAGACCTATTTTATGCATGGAAGAACAGTGTAATCACTAACTTCTCAGAGGTTCAAGAGGGAAAATTCACACATAGCTCCACTGTAAGAAAAAAAAATGTCTTTTATATTAATTGCCTGTCCTAACAACACATTTCTTGGAAAAGAAAGGAACATAAACAATGACTGCAGTTTGTGTAGGCTGAAATTATTGATATTTGTCAACTGTGGTCATTACTTAGTCAAAGTAGCCTTTAACACATGCAAACATTAAGTTTCTGCAATCTCTCATCCCTAAAAATTTTCATCAAAAAATGATGGATAAAGCCTGACTTACCTCATCTGATCTTATAGC